TTTTTTTTTCCATTTTATAACCCATGCCCATGGAAGCAGCAGTCATGAAATCATATGGAGAAGAAAACAAGAAAAGAGACAAAAGAAATCAAACAAACAACCTATTACCTAGGCAAACCTGCTGTAAACGATCTCCTTAACGTATTGAAAATCAAGATGTCACGCTGAGAAGTGAGGTGCACTGACCCAAGCCACGGTATTTTCAATCACCTCAGAAGCACACGAAGCGGGACAATGAAAGAGGAAGGCGGATGACACATCTGAATGATGGGGAACAGACCACGCAGAGCCAGAGAATGAATAAATCTGTCTCAAGTATCGCCAGAGTGCTCCTCAGAAGCGAGGCTGGTGAGATGACATCTCACTTCCTTTGGACACATTATCCAGAAGGACCGATTCCCAGAGGAGGACACCAGGCTTGGTGGAGAATAAGTACAAAAGCGAGAAACCTTCAGAGATGAGCTGACACAGTAGCTGAGTTGGAACCAAGTTGATGGCCCCTTTAACAAGTAGAAGCCAGACACAGCGGCTACCTACTGCTTGGTTTTGTGGCTCTGAAGGGTCCAGGATCAGACACTCCATAGCGACAGAAAGGAGATGAGTGTGCGTGAAGGGCTTAGAGGTGGGACTGGGGAGTGACTGCTCATGATACAGGGTTATATCTTCCGGGGGATGAAAATGTTCCAGAACCAGATAGCGGTGATGGGTGCACAACTTGGCGACTATATAAAAAACCATGCAATTGTACACTTTAAAAGAATGAATCCTATGGCATGTAAATTATATACCAATGGCTTAGAAACCTAGGGGACAAATCCAATCGCAGCCAATACCCGGTCCTCAGGAGGCCCCGGGTGGCTAATGCCCTTGGCTTCCAACCGAGAGGCTGAAGGGTCAAGTCCACCCAGAAATGCCTCAGAGCAGCCATGAAATCCCTGCGGAAGGCATGGTCTCAGGGAGAGGGCCCTCCCTGTAGACGACAGGTTCTCAGTGACATCGCCAGACCTACAGAATCCACATCAGTGGGAAATGATTAGAAGTACCCGTTTTCAGACCCTGTCCCAGAGCTCCAGAACCTGAAACGCTAAGTCTGTTATAACAATGCAGGATGAGTTGCCCTCCATTCCCTGGTGCCTGAGCACCCAGCAATCACAGCACCGCATGTACAGCTCACTAGAACCCTGGGAGGTAGGAATCTGTTATAACAAGTCTCCCCACCTCCACTCCCACACTCCATGTGATCCTGATGCCTATACTTAAGAAGGCCTGTTCTAGGGCAGAGGGAATGTTTCCTGTAAAGAGCCGGATCATTTTTTAATGATCACACATTCTTCATTTTGTCCTTTTCTTTTTACTACTCTTTTTAAAAGGTGGAAAACAGTCTTAGCCCCCAGATATTAAACCAAAACCAAAAAAACAAACAGGCTGTTGTGAAGCACCATCACATGATTCCATCAGTGACTCCAGGTAATGGAGTAGAGCGGCCTCATAGGGTTTTGTAGCGAGGAGCAAGGTAAAGTGTGGGGCAGCTAACTGCAAGGACAGCAGTTTGAAACCACCAACCACTCCGAGGGAGAAAGACGACGCTTTCTACTCCCATTAAGAGTCATCGTCTCAGAAACCCACAGCAGCAAGCAGTTCTACTCTGTCCTATAGGATCACTGCTATGAAAAGAC